TAATAATAATAATAATAATAATTTGGGATCTTTTAATAATCAGTTATTTAACAATACTTATAATATATTCAGTTTTTTTATCTAAATTTTGCTTTTGTTTTGGAGTTTTTTCCAGGGGGGAGATAATTAGATTTATTTATGTGGTTTCTCAGTGGAGGTGCTGGGGATTGAACCCAGCACTTCGTGCATGCTAAGCACGAACTCCACCACTTAAGCTATACCCTCCCCTCTGTTCTGGAGTTTTATCGCAAAGTATGTTCCATGTGTGACTGCCAAATGCTTGCATTTATTGCTGTTTTCTCTCTGACCAATACTTTACCACTTTTTGTAAAGATGTCAGAAACATTTTGGTAGGAAAATGTACAGAAGCAAGGTAAAAAGTGTTCTTTCTGTCCCACAGTTACTCTCTCATTACCATCCATTAAATTAAAATGTTATTAAAATCTTGCCACGTCCATGTCTTTGCTTTCTGTTTGCTTTGTCAGTCCTTGAAGAAGCTATGTTAAATCTCCATTTTGATTTTTAAAAATAAATTTAGTACTATTGGCTTTGAACTAGTTTGGTATTAATCTTCTTTCCCTTTATCCCTTTCCATGTATCTGAAATGTATGGATCTAGTCTAATACACACCTAGGAAGGGGTACAAAGCATGACTCCACATCTTGATGACATTTCACAAACTGCACATCCCCTGTGCTACTGTCACCTACATCAAGAAATAGAAGATTTCAGTATGTCCGAAGTTCCCCGGGATGGGATTCACAGAATATGAATCATGGAGAGCACATATTAGGCAGCCTTCCCCATGCCTGGAGCATGTGACTGCTCATGCATGGGGTGTCATCCCACCATGGTGAATGATATGGGAGGAATCCTTGGATTGATTTTGTGATGAAAATCTTCTCTTCAGCACAACTGGTACATTTCCCACTGGACACAGATTAGATAGAATGAATCCCTAAGTGGTGTTGTCAGCCTTGTTGCTGCCAGGAAGGGTGAGCTTCCTTGAGAATGAGACAACCTACTCCAGGAAAACAGCAAGCGGAAGTGAACAAAGGTAACCTGCATTCTGGCTACATCGTCCAGTTCTGGACAAAGTCAGGCCTGCAGATTCATTCATCACTTCAGTCTCCTGGGACTGAGCCAGTGGCTTCCTTAATTATTCAAGCCAGTTTAGACTGATCCCCAAGTCCCTTGATTTTCACAAATACTTGATGAGATTAATAATATTGTGTTTATTTTA